CGATGACTCAACAAAATATTTCGGAATCCATAGATTTTGTCGTTATTGATGTGTAAGCATCTATACTTTGAAGATGATACACAATATATATATATACAAGTACATTCGATGACGAGGAACCCACTGTTACGTATCTCCTTGTTTGTTAATTTCCAGTAGAAATTATTTCCGAAAAATTCAGCGATACAAGTCCTATCTTAATTAAAACTATGGTTACAGTCGCGGAAGTCACGCGACGGGGGAAGCATGCGCGCTGGAGTTTCGAAAAGGATCATGACTTTTTCTGGCCACTCTAGTCTGTTCCAGGCACCCTCTTTTTAGTATATAAGCCTGGCAAATAAAGCGGAGATATAATTGCAGATAGATAGATATAGAAACAGATAATCGAGTCAAGCGAGCAGTAGAAACTGTAAGTAAAGTGTGTGAATCGCTGTGAATTCTAGCGTGTGTTTATAAAAGTTTTAATTAAGAAAAAATTCGTATGGCTGAAGTTTCTCTGAAAGAATTTCTACGAAAAATTAACAAACAAGCAGATATGCAACACTAGTTTATTCTTTCTCGATACAACTTTGCAATACACAGAATTTCCACAGTCACTTTAACTTAACTACTTTTATAAAAACATGCTATAATTCACAGTGATTCAACACTTTACTTGTTGCGCCTACTGTTCGCTTGACTCACTTATATCTCTTCAGTATATCTCCAGCTTATATACTAAAAAAGAGGGCATCTAGCAAATGCTGGGACATTCGTGAGGTACACCGATAAGTCACACTCCTTCCAGAATCTTTAGCGTACATGCTTCCAGTGTCATGTGACTTCCACTGTCGTAACACTGCCCCTTCCTTCGTATTGTTCGTCCCAAACAATAGCCACTTGCATTAAACCAATAGATAATCAACAATAACTTAATTAAATGTACAGAAATTACAAACACAAAATTAAAATTCAACAAAGTCTCTTAATTTTATGGGATGCATCTTCTTCCGTATTGGTCTCCGTCTCGTCTCGTTGGTTTCTGCTTCACGTGGGGTTCATCTGCTCCATCAGAAAATGTCCTATTATCGGTAACAAACACATCAGTGGTAGTAACTTCATTAAGGGCTTCACTGATTCCTTTCTCAAAACAGGTAGAGTTTCTTCTTCTTCTTCATCCATCCTTTCAGATAACACTTTCACGAACTCTGGCACATTTTCAGGCAACTCTTCGTAAGGTGGGCGTCCTGTTAACAGATCCACTGGCAACCAAAGTTCCTGACTAAAGATCAGCTTTGCTGGAGTGTATCCAGTGGCTTCATGCTCTGCTATTCTATAGGCCATCAACAGTGGAGGGAGTAAGACATCCCAGTCATCTTGGCGGCTATTACAAAACTTTGCCAATTCCTGTCCCAGTGTCCAGTCGTACTTTTCTACCATCCCATCAGACTGTGGGTGAAGTGGACACTATGTGTGCTTGCCATTTTACACTTAACTGTTGGGACTTTCACAATGGGGGTTGTGGGTGTCCCTCAGCACCAACCACTACTGGTTTCCCCGAGGCTGACTTATTGGTAGTATTCTTCTTATACTGGCTCCTCATATGTTCTTGCTCTCCACAGTTCCAACAACCTTTCTGCGTAGCAGCCTTTCCTGCCGTGGCATCTACCCTGTGTTGAAGTTTCCAGCATTGAGCTTTCTTGTGCCCAGGTTTGTTACAGTGCCAGCAAAGTCCTCAAACCTCTCTGAAAGCTGCTCTGACCATTGCATCCTGCATAGTAGAGGGATGTGCTTGCTTAACTTGTATCTTCAGTTGTGGACTGTACAAGGCATCTACAAACTGATCCTTCAGTAACAACTTGAGGACATCGGGTGGTGCAGTTGGGTAGGCCTTTTGTGCCCTACTTTCCAAATCCTCTGCTAGCTCTTGCAGACTCTCCCCTTTAGCACAGACTCTAGTCCTAAACCTAGCCCTGTAGACTTCGGACTGATTTTGAATTCCATACCTGATTTGTAGAGCAGCTACCAGTGCTCTATACTTGTGCCTGTCGTCTGCTTACAACTGTCCAAGTATTTCCAGTGGTTGTCCCTTCAAGCTCGTTGCCAGCTACACTGCTTTCTGCTTCTCTGTCCATCCATTCATTTCTGCCAGGAGCTCTAATTGTGCTCCATATGCTTCCCACGGTGCCTTCCCATCGAATTCCCGTGGCTTCCTTCGTACTAGATCACCCTATTGCGACACTCATGTCTGGAATGTGACTTCTGGCAGGACTGAAGATGTCTGCTTTAGGGTTTAGCTGTGGGGTCTTGTGTAAAAGACAGTAAATCACCCTTTAATGTATTTAATTCACTTTGAAATTTACTAATCTTTTCCATTCGTGTGTGCTGGCTTTCTTTCAACTGTTGGAGTCTTTCTTCCTGTTTCTTTTCTTGTTCCAGTTGCCACTAGTGCTGGTTTTCCTGGTATTGCTGTAGTTTCTCTTCTTGTTTATTTTCTTTCTCCTCCAACCACTGTTGTAGGTTCTCTTCTTGTTTATTTTCTTTCTCCTCCAACCACTGTTGTAGGCTCTCTTCTTGTTTATTTTCTCATTCTTCTTGTTTCTTTTGCTGTTCTTGTATTGCTGCCATCAAATCTGCTAAGTTGTAGTTTGATTTGTCACTTGTCGTTTCCATTTTTTTTCTTTTCCATCCCAGTCTCTGAGACCAGTTTGTTACGTATCTGCTTGTTTCGTTGTTTCAGGTATAAATTCTTTCCGGGATCTTCAGTGGTACAAGTCCTTTCTTGATTAAACCAAATCGCTGTGATTTATAGCGTGTATTATAAAAGTAGTTAAGTTGAAAGTGATGAGAGATGTATTGACTGTGGAATTACTGTGTACTAAAAGTTTGTATCGAGAAAGAATAAACTGGTTTAATCAGGAAAGGATTTGTATCGCTGAAGTTCCTCGGAAAGAATTTCTACTGGAAATTAACAAACAAGCAGATATGTAACAATGTTTTCCTACTTTTTTTCTGTCTGAACTTTTACTTTCACTTCAGCTTTTCTCTACTTGACTTTTTCAGTTCTTAACTTACGCTCGCTTAGTCGCCTATATTTATATATTGATCACTGAGGCCTCGAACTTTTTGTAAAGTACGCGAACGGCGCTGATTTAACAATACTCGGTTAAGGTAATGAGAAAAGTCGCGAAGGTTCGAGTAATGTGACGTCAACAATATTAGTAAAGCTTCGACAGCAACGTAATTGCAAACACGAAGTACGACTCTTACCGAGTTACATAACCAAACTTGTCATAACTATCACCTTTAAAATGGTTAACTTTTAACTTTCTTGTAATGAAAAATT